CAGATGTTAAAAAAATAGCATATTAGCAACCGGTTATTTGTAACTCAAATAAAATATATAGAGCGACAGGAAAATCAAAGCATTTGTAATTTGAAATCGTCAAAATAGTCCTTACAAATAAATAAAGCTTAAAAGGCCGTAAAGAAAACTTTCCATGGTTAAAAAATTACCTTTAATATGCCTTTATGACTCAATAACAAATTAGAGGTTTTTAGGTCTCGATGGAGGATCCAATTGTCATGTAGATGGGCGACTGCCCGTAACAGTTGAGTTAGAAGACATTTAACCTCCCCAACTGTGAATGGCCCATTCATCACCTGTGGTTTAAATTTGAAAAAAATTAACCATTTAGATGGATTAAAAAAATCAAAAATGAGTTATAGAGAACTATCGGAATCTATTTGCCTAGCTTTATCAAATAAACAAGTTTTCTAAATTCATTTATATCGCAGAGATTGGCTGCATATTCTGCAATGAAAAATTATTTGGCAAACATTGTAACAGCTATTACGAGAAGTAAATAAATTGATACAACAGTAACAAGTTTATAAAGAAAAAACCAGATAAATAAGGAAGTAGCAAAAAACATAAATGTACATGCTTTAGGGCTGGGTGAATGTAATCAATTGTTAGTGTTGGTTCGACCTAGTTTTTGCAACTTCGTCGGAGCATTAGGGATACTGTGTAAAACGTACCTAGATCCGTGTCCTCTGCCATAATATTTGTGATTTCCAGAATTATACCATTGGCTGGGTACATTCCTTAACGTTAATCGGCATCGTCAGTGAGAGACGCCATCGTAAGCAAAGAATTAAAACTTATCAGTGACAAGTAATTCTGCTCTTACGATGGTGCCTCTCACTGACAATACTGGCGAAACGTTTTGGAATGTACAGGGCTAATGGTCCAGTGCTGGAAATCACGAATACTATGACAGAAGACATGGGACTAAGTACGTTTTACAAGGCCTCCCTGACGCTCAGACCAAGCTGCGAAGACAATGTCGAACCAACACTATAAAGCCAAAGGAGACTGCGACCAAACAGAAGGCCACACCATCTTGGTCTTCATATCTACGATATTATAATCAATTTTTGTCTGATTTAGGGTTCTGCGACGTACTGTGATATGCCGGTTCATAGCTTGTCGGAAAAGAGGCTGAAGACGTGTATATAGCAATTGGAATATTCATGCAGATTGGCAGTAAAAGAATAATTACAAATAGCTTGGCCTTGTGATAGGCAGAACAAACGAATCAATGTAGGTAGAAAGAAACACTCGCGAAAATGTGACGAAAGAGCGAGGGCTAGTGGCAGCAAGATAGACAGGGCCCTGGAGGCATACTAGTTAGTTATTCATGCTAAAACCTTTGCATAGCTTGAATGTTGGATTCTGATGGTTGCGAGGCTACGGTCTGATAGATACGATGGTAGGCTCAGTAGTGGCGAAATTTGACTCGCCATCGCGAAGGAATAACATAGATGAGAGAAATTCGCAGTTTTTAAACCTTCCTAAAACAAGATATGAAGACCAAAATGTTGTGGCCTCTATTTTGCTCGCAGTCTCCCCTCGATGTATAGAAATAGTCAGAACTCGTTTTCGAAACTTGATTGTGTTGTCAGAGCAAACTAATTAGACGCATCTTGTCCCGTGCTCTGCTATAGTTATAATAATTATCAGAGTTGTACAATGGACTTGGTACATTCCAAGAGGTCTCGCCGGCATCGTGAGTCTTGATAAATGAGGTCAGGCTGATTCTACTTATAATGAAGTTACAGGTATTTGTGAAAAGTGGGTGTTGTGAGTACTGCGAATTTTATGTAACGAAACTAGCTGCTATAATAGGAAAGAGTAGAAGGATAGGCCATCACACAGTAATTAGTCTCACAAAGACAAGTACGAAATCGAAGCAGACCGAGGCCATTAAAAAATAACTTACAGATAACTTGCAATCAAGATACATTGGGAATGTACCAAGTCAAAGATACGATGCTAGAAATCACGAACACTGTGACAGAGGACACAGGACTATGTATGTTCAAAAGGTCTCCTTGACACTCAGACCAAGTTGCGAAAACAAGATCGTACCAATAATATAAAGATAAAGGAAACTGCAACCAAATAGGTCAAACCATCTTGGTCTTAATATCTAAAATGATTAATAATTTAAATTCACACATTTTCCAAATAGGCACAGAGGTAATCCCAATGTTAATCAGAGCCGGCAGTTGCAGTTTAAGTTGAAAAAATCGCATAAGCTATGCAGTAAAATGAGTATAAGAAAAATTTCAAGGTTAATAATTTGGGAATACAAAACAATGAGCAAGCAGGATTCGAAGCCCCCAGTAGGTATTTAATAAGAACTTGAACCACTTAGGCCGGTTAATGTGAACAAAGGACAAGTATAGAAGCTGTTTGACCTTGTTTTCGTAACTTGATCATATTTGCAAGAAGACATAGAGGAACACTTATTGTCCATAATCCATAGTATGCATGATAATTTCAACAATCGAACGGCGGAATTAGTGCCTTCACAGACGTTTCCCGGAATCGTCAGTTAATCTTGCCATTGTTACCACCACACTAGAACTGGATAGATCTTAAGTAGGTTAAGATAATGATACCATGCCTTAATGTACCCGTCATGACGTGCGAAAGCTTAGCATGTCATCTGAATCGAAAAAGATTGCCACTTAAACAGCATCAACAAGGATGTTGACGTCGATTATGGTGGCAAATAAAAATTTTCTCAGCCTACATCAGCCCACTATAAATGAGATTTGGGAGACTTGGCTTAACTCGACATTTATCTGCCTTGTGAACCACGTGAGTCTGTTGCTATGATGAGGTAAAAACACTGCCCCATGATGTGTCTTATCCAGTGTCGAATCCCGTTGGGGATGCCGATAAATAAAAAATTGCAGACCATCCTAGATGGGAAATCCTTTTGGCTGCCAAGAGTGTCGTTAGATTAGGTGAGTTCAGTCAATCCTTACATCAGCGTAAACAGAGTAGTGACTCGAATTATTAGTGAATGTGAGTCATACATAGGAAAAAGAAAGTAATGTAAGACGCTTGGCAAGTCTCACCTCCATTAGTGCTTTGAGGTCGTGCTCTACATATTCCATTACAAGATAAATCTTATCCATATTGCTACCAACAACAATTTCGCGCACAGTGACGATGTTCTCGTGCTGAGCTCGCATTAGAGTGCTGATCTCGCGTAATGATGTGATAGGAAAACCGTCGTGTTCTTTCTCCATCTTCAATCGTTTCAGAGCCACAATCTCGCCTGTCTTTTTGTCTCGGGCCCGATATACTACGCCGTAAGTACCTTCCTCGATTCGATTGAGGCATTCAAACTCTTCGACAGATCGGCAGCCCTTTAGAATACCAATGTAGGGAAGAGAGACAAGGCAGATAAAATGAAAGTTTGGTAAAGATAAATAAATACATTTGAAAAAAACGGGTATTAATTAGCTTATCATAACTTTTGTCAAATACTCGCCAAGAAACGTGATGATCAAAATTCCAAATAGATTAATAAATATTTTATTAGAAAATAAATAGAGAAGCACCTGAAACAATAATTAAAAAAACAATGTACAGAAACGAAATTCAACTAGTAAATCAAAAGTCTTTGTTTCTGATTTTGTGGCCAATATTAGATGAACGTTACGCTAATCATGATAAGCACTATTGGCCAAATTGTTGGGATATTTTTTTGACTGTAATCCGATAGGTAAATCATTTAAGAGAATGATATGAATCAAATGATAATCATTTGTCTATGCACAATAAGAAATGATAGCAATATTTAAATGAAGTTAGCGTGATAAAAGATGATTAACAGGATATATGCATATATATACATATAGTCCATAAATATGACCCATGGGCAAAAAAGAAGAGCAAAATAAAACTGGCATCTTGCCTGAGAAGCAGGAAAATAGAACGGCTTCTGGGGCTGTGCGCTACTGGTTTCCTCAGATGGATAGAGATTTTCTACGTCTGAACCATGCCGGTCAGCCTTGCCAATTAGTTGATCCCCAAAGTCCACTTCCATTTCTCCTAAATCATTGTCTTCTTCATCTGAATGTTTGATGCTGCTGACGCAACCCAGATCCCCAAAACGCTCGTCGGCTCGCCGACGTTCTGCTCCCCCACTCATTGAAGTCAAGGCAGAAGCAACATTTGATGTACTTGATTCAAGTCGTTCCGGTCTACCGGCCTCGAGTGTATCAACACCAGGTCGATGATCTGGAGACTCGTCTTGGAAGTTCGCAGAGCCGGTAGGACGATGTGCTCGTTGTGGATGGAACTTGCGCCTAGAATGGCCGCGACGCGTATCGTCTTCCTCGCCGTCTCCGGATCGGGGGCTATAACACAATTACATAGTAATATGGTTTGGTGATTCTAAAACAATAAAGTATGACTATTCTAGTTAACAAACTCTTGAATTAGGGCCCCTGTAATACCAAGATATATACATATAAAAGTTAATTTTAGGTGACTATTTACTAAATTTAAGACTGAATGTGGACAAACGAAATAAATGGCGAGTAAAGAAAGCAACCTAAAAAAGAGTAGTTGAATGGATTGTGAATAATGACAAAAAGTCCGAAAAGTCATTATATACACAACATTAAATATAATTCAAGTAATACAAATTCTTATCAAATATGAGTCGATTGACTCATTAAATAAAAGAGCAAATAAGCTCCTCTCATAAACTCCTCATAGAGGGAGTTAATTTGATGAGAGTGTCATTGGCTCAACATCAGCTAGACCTAATAAACACTAGTTTATGCTGCAGCCTGAGACAGGAAAATAGCCCCACAAGTGTAATAATGTCAAAAAGCAAAATTATTTTACGTATCATCTTCTTGCTCTTCGTCGGTGTTGCCTCGGCTGTGGGTCTCTTCAAACGAATCGCCGCCAGCCGCACCGTCTGAATAAGGGCTTGATCCACCAGAATGCTGTGGTCGAAGCTTCT